ATTTTTGGTTGTGTATCTGTATGACAAAAAAGTTCTCAAGGAAGTGTCTTCCTCGGGAAAACATTCTTCTGAAGTAGAGCACCTGGAATTTAAAGGTGCAAAGTACAAAAAAAGTACCAAAAAAAGTACCAAAAATCATTTGATCCTGATAAAATAAGGTTATACGCTTCATACGTCTTTCCTGATAGAGTTTGGATAAACTTTTCCAAACCTAAATAGAATTCCAGCTATGGGCTGACGTAAATAAATATGGCGTCATCTGCTAGAAGTACCACAAAACCATTAAGAGGTCAGATGTCGACTAAATAGATACCGACCGTCCTGCAATTCCATGACAGATCGGCTCGGTCGAACAAAGACCAATGTTAATAAAACAAATCATGAAAATATTGAGTTTGAATTTTGAAAGGTTGAATTTTTTTATATGCAGATTTTTTTAACACTGAAAAATTAAACTGAAAAATAAGTATTGAACATTTAATCACTTTGAGATAGTAATGAGAATTTTTAGCTTGAAGAGAAGATAACAAATGAAATTTCAACTATGTAGAAACAATGACAATGAATTTTTTTTTAGGTCAAAAATGTGTTCTGAATATATCTTAACACTGAAACGGTCATGCAAGCTAACGCTAACTCAACTACAGAAAAATGGAAGTAATAAACTCACCGTTGAGTGAGTGAAACAGCAAGTACAAACATGCAACATTTAAATTTCAGTGGCATTTTTAATTCAAATCCCAGCGACACAGATTTACTTCCATACAGGGGATCGTTAGAAAACTAAGAAAATGTTAGTGTCTTAAATATTTTATGAATAAAGAAATAAAGAAAAAATGTCCCTCAAAGGAGAAAAAGAACTTTTACTCATATACCTTCAATTTAAATATCACTGCAACCAATTATTTTTAAATTAGTACATTAAGTCCCACTGTAATTAATTTGACCTCAATATAAATCCAGATATTGTGTGAAGAGCCCAGAGGTTTGGTGCTGAAATGAAAATCAAGAAATACAGCCAGACGGGTGTAAATTGTGGTTTGTTTACAGACCAGTGAATTTATAAAACGACAATCTTAAAATAAAACAAATACATGAACGTCCATCTGAAACAAACAGGCAGTTAGAGACGAGGATTGATTGATCCCATAGTAACCAGTCTGGCCTGAAATGAAGCCAGAAGAAGTCCTTTCAGCAACATTTTAGAAGGCGGCAGGTGAATGAGATCAAAACTGATTTTTTGCTAAGAGAAGCTAACGCTGCCCATCATGAGCTGGACATACCCACACTGCAGCATCCTGCAGGGACGCTTCCCGTTTGCAGCCACACTGCAAAGGTTGCTCACATTCCAGCAGGACAACAACTCTAAGAACGCAACCAGAACTAAAGCTGCAGGATATCTGGAAATCACAAAGCTTCTCAGGCTTCTCCTTAAAAGGTGCATGAATGTATCCCTGATATTAACAAACCAGGAATGTGAGGAAAGAGTCGATTTATTCAAATCTATGAAGAGCGTCGGAATCACTGATCTTCTGAAATAAACGTTTCTCAAATGAAGTCATGCCAAAAGTCAACAAGGAGGAAGAAAAAACAGAAAAAAATAACTGCTGATAAGAAAGGCAAGATAATGTGTTCACCTCTGCCAGCAGCGGAGAGCGCAGCACAGGAGAAGGTGCTGGGGGATGTGCAGGGACAAGAATGAGAGTCTTGCTGCTAACGCTCAGCGCCAAATAAGGTCAGAGCACCTGTTGAAGATTCATTTGGCGGGATCATACATGTTGGATCATACATGTTCCAGCACATCAATGTGCTTGGTCACACCTGAACAGCAGGCAGAAAGGTTACTAACCGTGCAAGAGCAAGGAGTTTCTGGTTATGCCTGTTCAGAAACATAAATATTTAGAAAAACAACGAAAAGCATGATTGAAATCCTTCATCCACCTAATTAAAAACAACTAGAAGCTATTTTTACTGACAAGCGTACATATAAAGGATTTTTTTAGAAAAGAGAACAAAAAAGTGGGCTAAAAAGTAGAGGGGCCTTAAAGTCTGAACGCTAAAGAAATGTCCTTTCTGGAATTCTTTAGTTTAAGGAAGAACATAAGAAGGTTCATATGAAAATATGCAGATAAAATATGAATAGAATGTAATTAATTACTATTTCTTAACTGAAACATCAGATTAAATGGCTATCTTTGCCCTAGTGGAAAGTCTTTATATAGTTTTTGATGTACGGAATGAGAGACAGACCTCTCCGTTCATCATGGTCATGCCAATTCTTCCATTAACCCTGCCCTCAGACTAGGGGTGGGTATTGCCAAAGAAGTCACGATTCGATTCGAATCATGATTCACAGGCCACGATTCGATTCTATCACGATGCATCGCGATACTTGAATTATTGCAATGCATTGCAATATTTTCTCACCCATGTTTTGTTTTTGAATGACTCGGCGCAGTATCCCGCGGCCGGAAATGCTTGCGACACAAGGCAGCGTACGTCAACACATCCGCAGCGACATCTACTGGACTGGAAGTTGTATTACCCTTGTTTTTGGCTGATGTTCGCCAACCATTCATGCAATTTTATTTACTCATTTTTTTAAATTAATAATCGATACTTGGCATCAAGAATCGATGCAGTAGATCATGAAAATTAGAATTACGATGCATCATCATGATGATTATTTTGCACACCCCTACCTCAGACTGAGTCGGCAAGGTCTAAGGGTACTGGCCTTAAAACTGAGCTCTACCTGAGCTTCAATTATTAATACAAAGAACAAGTTTTGAAAAATGAAATTTGAAAGAAAAAAATTCTATAAACAAAACTTTATTTTAGAGTGATTTTGCCGTTTTCCCAAAATATTATTTTTTTTCATATTTAAATTTTTCTAAATTAATTTTATTACTTTTTTTAATATTTTCTTTTAAGAAACAGTTTTACATATATATATATATATTTTTTTGTTTTTTTTTTTTTTTTTTTTGTTTCCCAGATTGAGTTTAAGATGTATTTAATTATTTTCAAATTGCATTTTAAAGATCACATTCTCTTTACTTCAAGCACAATTCAAACACTCATACATTGGCCAATTAGGTGAATAAATTAATCTTTTAAAAGCCTGTTGTGGAGAGTGTTAGTACTAGATGTTTTTCCCTGCTGTGGTAGCAGCATCAGAGCAAATGACTGAAAAAAGTTCAACAAGCTGATAAAGAAGGCCGACTCTGTTCTAGGAAGTCCTCTAGAACCTCAGGACATGATTTCACAAAGAAGCATCCTTCAAAAAGGGAAGAATATTATGGACAACACTGAGCATCCTCTTAATCAGACTATTAGACCTCAACAAAGTGTCTTCAATCAGTCTTCAGAGCACAGAAGGCGCTTCTTTCAATAATCGATCAGCTGAATATTTTCTGCCCCAAATAAAATATTTTCCCTAATGGTAAGGTTGCAGGCCCAGATGGGTTTGGAATTTAACTGTATGAAAAAATACTCTAAAATAGCAGCCCCACTTTATGTTGAGGTTTTTTAAACACTCTTTTCACACTCAAACACTTCCAATGTTAATTTGCTGCTGAGAGACAGGAAGGAAGAAACAGAACCTTCCTCCTACTAACCTGTCGATCAGGTCAAAATTATTTATGAACATATTTTAATAAAGTTTTGGCAAATCAATTAAATCAGCATGTTTTATTGGAAGAAACTGGAAGAAACTGGGTTTATCTGGTTACTTTAAACCCAACAACCAAAATTTGTATATATATATATATATATATATATATACACACAAACATATATGTATATTTATATATACACACATCTAGACATATATACACATACATATACACACACATACATACAGTATATATATATATATATATATATATATATATATATATATATATATATATATATATATATATATATATATTATATATATATTTATATATTCATATAATTACTAAAACATTAGAGGTTGTCCCCCATGGGGGGCTCAGTGTATATATATATATATATATATATATATATATATATATATATATAATTACTAGAACATGGTGGAAATGAGCGGTAATTTCAAATAAATGAATTATGAAGAATTGTGTTATACAGTAAAATAACATTTCAAATAATTGCACTTTAGAGGCAGCTGTTTTGTAATTTAAAGGAGATTGTAGTTTATTTGATTAAAATACAGTTTAATAAATGTCTTTATTCAGCCGTTAAAAAGATTTGTCGGAGGAGGCTGAGGGACATGAAAACTTTCTTGTACATCCAAGGGGGCACCCAACAAGAAACGTTTGGGAACCACTGCATTAAATCGTCAGTAAGAGCAGCAGATCAATTATTTCAATTAGTGCTTCCTTAACCTGTGGTGGAGAAAAAGCTGCCAGGTAGACGCCATGAAATCTCTGAAGTGTAACCAAAAAAAAAAGAGCCAAGAGGGATGTCTGACTTGTTCAGATGCAGATATCAGTCAGAGTTGATGTTTTTGCAAAGCCACAATTGTTCAATGAACCAAGCTGTCTTTGTTTATCTTCCTTCTCTCACACAAAAATAACGATTTTCTCAGTTGTAGCCAAAAATATCCAAGCTATTTAATCAGATCTCAGGTTTTTTTTAAATCGCCTCTAAGCTCACAGTTAGACACAAACAGAGCTTAAAAGAAAAACATGTGAGGTTAGTGTCAGCTCTTAGAAAGAAATACTTCTGCAGTCCAAGGTAAGCCAGTGAAACAATCCCAAACAACTGCTTGTCTTTTTCCATATTTCCAGATACAATCTGGAACATTTTGTGAGGCGCCTTAAAGCAAGTAAACAGCAGTGACACCTTCATGACACCATTAAAACCTCCTATCAAGCAGCAGCTAATGATGACAATACCCTCCACCTTCTAGAGGAAGCACCGTTTCAGGAAATGCAGCAGGAAACCATGGAGGAATCAGCCATTTTTAGCATTAACTCGCGTTTTAAACGGAGACCCAAAATGATACTCACAGCTTCCCTTCAGATGTTTGGAGCACAGAGGAGACTGCTAGTGTTACTAGTAGGGAACTCAGTAGGAAGACTCCTCTCACCCTTAGAGAGCCTGGCGCTGCTGAAATGACTCACATCCCCTCTTCAAACCTCTGTCAACCATCAGGAGGAGGTAAACATTTCCAAATATGGAGAAAGTATGGAGACAGTATTGAGGGCAATATCAGTTTGGTTTGCTTTTAGCTAGGAATGCCAAACTATGTGAGCCAGAGTCGCTCCACGGAGCCAGTTCTGTGGTACATACCTCTCACTTGGGATAATAATGATGATGATTGCAGAGAGCTTTTCACAGTTGTTTGGGGTTCAGTCTGACCTAAGATGGATGAAAATGTGAGCCTGTTGCATCAGCTCAGTCTTTAGGATCTGACTTAAGAGATGCAGGAGTTCATGGCCAACACCCTATCCACTGTGACGTGTTACTGACCTGCTCACACCAACCTATAGTTCAGATCCAGCTTTGAAACTGCATTTCTAGGTTTAAAACGTTATAATTCATGATTTTAAATATTTTTTTTTATTAATAAATAGGAAATTTACCTAATAGTTCATTCCACAACTTAGTGGTACGTTAAATATTAATGTTTTAAATTGCTAAATAAATAACTGCAACAACTTATTATTTCCTGGTAGGTTTATGTATTTCATCATATATTTTAGCCCTCCGCATATATATCACACGTCAATGATTGTAAACACCGACCCCCGCTTTGGTCACCTCTGCATTAGTTACTTTATCGTTTCTAGATGACACAGTGTCATCTATCTTTAGTTTTGTATAACAGTGATTAGCATGGACAAAATGGTAGCAAAAGCAGCCATGTAAGCAAACAAGATGTGGCCCGCAGCACCATCATTTAAGATGACCCTTAATTACAATTTAAGAATGGCCATATGAAGCGGTTAACTGAATAAACATTTAAAAAATGGATACTAGGGAGGCAACTTTTCCTTTAAAGCAACATTGCATATCTTTTGTCCCAAGTATTATCATAATTCGAGAGATTTTAAATGATTTTTCTGGTCAATATAGAGCAATTGGTGGGTATTGATGCTCCCATGCAGGCTGCTCTTCTTAAAGGGGAACACCGTTTGTTTTTTTACATTGGGCCCTTGATTTTACGTTATTACATCATGTTCTACTCACCCATATTAGTTTTGTGTCATTTGGAGCTGTTCTGAAGATATTCAGTTTTGTTATATCCAAGTAACGTCTTCCTTTGCTTTCCTCATTTATGGTACATCAGCATTCATAACATGTAGGCAAATCACTGTCCTCCAGACATTCGCGGTTATATTTTTTATATTTATATTTTTTAAATGGAAAAAAAAACTGCATTCCCCTTTAAAACGATGTAACTTGTGAGGGTGGGATGCGTCGCTGAATGAGCTTTACAGCAGTCTGAGCTACACTTTAACCCCAGAGCTGAGATAAATGTTGCTGTTAGCCAACAAAAAAGATCTGACAATGACCTGCTCAGACACATTACTGGTTCTATGATGTAAGATTTAATCCAGAGCGGTTAATGTAGCCTTGAATTTACAAATGACTCCATAACTTCTTAATCTGGTCCGATATGATCTGTTATCAGAAACCAAAACGTTGAGGGAGGCGGTTTAATGTCGCTACAGTGCCATGTCATCAGTGGCCTTTAGGGGCGCCAAACCTGGAAGTAGGACCAGACAATGAATTAATGACTTAAACTTTTGGTTTATGGGAATTGAATTTTTAGAAAATTGGGAATCCCAGAGTGACATCAGATAATTTGTTTTTTTTCTTAGACTTAAGCTTATAATTATTTAAACCAGAAAATTGTGTGATACTACTAGCTGTAAACATTCTCCGTGTTATATTTGTAATGTTTATTGTGAAAGATGGTTATTTTTGAAGAATTTTTCCCAGCTTGAATTTTGTTGCCCTTTACATTAAGTTCGACTCCCAGAGGACATGATTGAGGTCAAAACTAACTTTTTAAATCCGTTCATGTCCTTTAACTTTTTTTGCTACGAAACTTAAAGAAGAAAAATACACAAATAAATTGCTTCATCGGATTTGGACAGTAAAAAAATTATCTGAGAAAAGATATTTACGCAGCATCACCCAGCCCTAAGAGGAAGTTAGAGGTCTAGCTTTTGGCCCCAACAATACTTCAACTTGATACACAAAACTTTAAAGTGGAGGCCTTCAACAGGGGGTCCGCCACCCCTAGGGGCCCAAGGAGGTACTGCATGGGGGTCGCAAAAGATTTGGTTGATTAGACATGTTTTTTATATTCCCCCTGCATTTTTTTCCACTAATTGAAAGGTTTTTAAATCCACATTAACATGAATTTAACAGGCTGTAGTAAACAGATAAATGGAGGCAGAAGATGTCTTTCAGTCATCAATGCACACATTCAGCGACACACAGGAGCTCTTTCAAGCTGGGCACCATTTCCTTCACAACACCTGTCCCATCAACCAGGAATCAGAATCAGAAATACTTTAATAATCCCAGGGAGAAATTACTTTCGTTACATGACTCCATCTGTAATAGAGTAGGACCAGGTTGATATAACACAATTTCATACAATATACATAATTAGGGGGTCCCTGCTCCATATCCCTATCAGTTTGGGGGTCCTTAGCCTGGAAAACGTTGAAGAACCCTGATCTAGAGACCACAGCCCTAGACAATGTGGATTCTCAACTACATTTCCATCACAAGCATGTTCAATAACAGACAGGTCTAGAGTTTAAAAGGACAAAACTATGCTGGACTCTGCTTAGTCTTCAAGAGCATTGATGGAGAAAGAATTTGGTTTGGCAAATATTTTGCTTATGGATTAATCTTATCCTATTTTTTTGATTAATGGATTAATAATCACATAGCAAAATGGACCTGGAGAGAATTTTTCCATTTAAAATTTAAACCAGGCAAAGCTAAAAATATGCAACTTGAAAGGTTCTGGATAGAGCCTATTATGCGGACGAAAAAAAAGGTATTTCATCTTAAATGCAAAATGATTGTATATTTTTACAGTTTAGTTGTAATTACTGCTCTGAGAGGGATTTCAGCAAATGACATGAGTTAGTCTCTGTATATCTTAATTTAATTAAACCATTACTAATTATTAAAGATTTTTTTTTATATTCTGTTCATTTCAATTAATTGAATGAATTGTTATATACCCTAGTTTGAGAGACGTTTATGGTCCTTCTCTTTTGTGTACGCTGTCGTTTAGGTTTATTTTTTTCCTTCACAGGACGGCATACAACAGAGTAACAAGCTAGCAAACCGCTGAGCCTGAAGACATCGTCACCCAGAGCAAGATGTGAGCTGAGGACCATTGGGTTGAGTCAAACATGGTTAAATCCCATGAGGATTGTCCTGCAGAAACTACAAAGGATGTTTCTATCAGAAAAAAAGCCTCTACAGAGTCTAGATCAGCAGCAGTAAGCAGGTTATAACACAGAGTTACTCTAGTGCTCTTTAAAGCTCTTCTTATCAGCCAATGGTTTCATAAAACAACTCTGATCATCACCAGGGATAAGAAAAATAATAAAAATCCAGATTTGACAATTCCCAACTGAAATCTGAATACAAAGCAAAGGGCCAGGCTTAAAGTTGGATAAGATTATGTCTGTGCGTTGCTAAATTGCAGAGGAGCAGAATTCATCCTGCAAAGACCGGCAGGTAGCGGCGGCTTATTCTCCACATGAAATCATCTCCCCGCACAGATTGTCTTTAAGTGATTAAGAAGGTGTAATTAAAGTCTGATTACTCCCATGAGTGCCTTGGGTCAAAAGCTTAACAGCTGCTAGGGGAGAACATTGCATTGACCTTCCTGGACTGGGGATTGTGTTGAGGAGCAGCTTGAGAGTCCTCATTTCCTGAAACAGCACAACCTACTTTACACAAGTCCCTCCGGAAAGGGACCGCCAATCAGTGCAGTCAATGTCCACGCATTATTAGCACAAACTTTCACACGCTTTTTTCCTGGAGAAAGTTCCCTAAATACACTCTGTGCAGTTGTTTGACCAACTTAGTGTGAGCAGAATTACTCTGCAGACTAATTCAATACGTGCACAATGTCATTCCTCTCTGCTTTTGCATTAATGTTCTTCATTGCCAAAACCCTCAATGCCGAAGGAAAAAGCCATGATGCCAGACAATTTTTCCATTTGCTCGATAGAGAACATCATTTGATTATTAAGATTTCTGCAGGTGGTCAGCTTTTTTTTTATTTTATTTTTTTATTTGTTTTCATGACAATTTCATCAAGAAGAGCATCTGAAAATATCCCTTTTATAAGCATCTAATATTGAAATAGGTCCTTAAATGCAAAACTCTTTAATCTCCTGAAACATTATCATGTTTTAGTATCGAGACATTTATTTTGCTTTAGACTGGCTCTCTTTTCCCACCTGAAGGCAAAGAGGAAAAGATTTATAGATGCTGGAGATTCTGTTTTGTTCAATTATGATACGATGAAAAGCGGTGAAGCTAATTTAAAAGAAAACTGCAGCCTCAGTCACACCGAGTCTGGAAAGCAATACCACTTTATCAGTGATGCATACATTTCTGATAACTTCTCTGGATTTTGTTGGTGACCACAGATTTTAGTACAAATCGGAAAAGTGTGGTTTGCATTGCTGTTCACCCTCCGTACAGCAACTCTGTAACATTTAGCTTCTAGGGGCGATAGATCTGGAACTTCCAGGATTAGCTCACCTGAAAGCAACACTGCACTGTAGCTAAATTTAAAATCCTCCCTCTGTGTTTTAATAATAATAAAAATAATAATAACAATAATGTTAATTGAACTTTATTGATCTCACATTGGAGAAATGTACCTTTGCATTTAACCCATCCCCTTGGGGAGCAGAGGGCTGCCATAATGGGGCGCCCAGGGAGCATTGTGGAGGTTAAGGGTCTGGCTCAGGGACCCAGAGTGGCAGTCTGTGGGAGTGGGCCTCGATCTCAGAACCTCGGGATTCCAAGCTCTATGCCTTAACCACTAGGCCGCCATTCCCCGTGGCGGCAGATAACAAATATCCAATAACAAATTTGAACCTATGGAGTTGCTAATAAACATTAAATATATTTAAAATGATGAAATAAAATACATAAATTTAATATATGAATAAAATCACATTGGTTTATATCTTTAATGAGTAAATAACTAGAGAAATAATTATATATATAAAGGGATCCCCAGTGTGTTGTACTAAAAGCTGAAATGTTTGAGAACCTCTGAACTAAAAGTCTGTATCTTAACCATCTAAATAGAAATTGTATATTTTCATTTTTAACTGCTAATTGGGTGTACAGAAATAAATAACTAGCTTTTAGACTTAGACTTAGACAGTACTTTATTGATCCCTTGGGAAGTCTCCCTCCGGAAATTAAGGTTACCAGCAGCTTACAGGGCAAAAAGTATTAAGTTAAATTAAGTTAAAATTA